TAACTGACTTGAATTAAACTTATCATTTAATGAAATCTATAACACAAACGAAAGATTTAAACACTTTGAGAATCTACGATTGATTAATCTATGTTATATATACTCACGAGTTACGAACGAAAATTGAGTCTTGATCTCCTTCAAGTTATCCAAATATTAATTATCTATTATTTTAATTAACATATTCAACTAATATTATATTTCAAATAATTTATCTTCAAGTTACTGACACACAATTTCTGTGTATTCACAGAGCGAGGTACATTTTGTATGACATTTTATTTAGTCTATAGCTTATCACAAATTCGTTACTATAACGTTCTATAAACTTGAAATGTAGTACAAAATATGTCTATATATAATAATAATAATAAATAGTATATTAAATTTACTCAAACTCTTATATCTTTTGACTTGTGTAAGGGACAGATGCAACCCCTTTAAAGTACACCATTTTACGATGGGTGTCACACAGGTAATAGCTCCACCAATATAACCGGACCTCCCTAATTGAATTCTATGTTTGATCTGTTTCAACCCCACGAGCTGGATAAATAGCTGATAGCTTACATCAAGCTATTACATTATACACTAAGCTGGGAAGAAGCTTAAGTATAATATGTGTTAAGTAAATTTTGTACATAAAATATGGCTTGAAGTTCTATACTTTTTTAAGTTTCTAACGCTTTGATTGCCTTCAATGACTCATATTCATTTTACTAAGATATTTTCTGTGTAAAAAATTAACCAAAACTATCCACAACATGTATGGCAGACCCTGGCTAAAGCTGGGAAATTGAGACGAATAAGAAGAAAAAAGATACGTTTTCTGTGTATTTAATTCACTATAATAAATATCACACAGTTGATTACTTAACTACATTCACACGTAAAAATCGCAGTAGTGTTCCTTTAAAAAGGAAAATCAACAAAATTCTAGACATAAACGCAAAAAACTTGTCAGCTATTATTAGATATCAAACCAAGAATATTTTTTATTCAAATAAATTAATCTTCTATGTATTTACATATATAACTTTAAAATAATACTTAAATATTTATTTACTAAGAATACACAATACAATGATCAAATTAATGTTTCTGTTCTCAAACTATACGGTATAAATGACTTTTTCAAAGTTAAAGCCTGTTCCAGTAATATATATATAATAAGCAGTTTTTCTTTAAACGAACATTATACGGGAATCAAACCCGGAATAAAGTTATAGAGACTTTGTCACGACACCTCGCACTACTTATTCTTACATTTTGTAAATAATTTCTATGATTTTCACTAAAATAAGATAAATTAAAAAAAGAGTACATTTAAGATTCATCATCATCAGTCTATCAGAGCCCACTTCTGGTCAAAGGCCTCTTTCTCACATGGAGAAGGTTTGAGCATTAATCACCACACTTGCTCAAGACGGGTTGGTGATTACAAACTTATAATTGGAAAATATAAGTCCAGGTTTCTCACGATGTTTTCCTTCATCTATCATTGATGTCTAAATACTCTTATAATGTACATATGACTCGGAAAAATTACATTGGTACTTGCTAGGTTTCGAACCCGCGCCCTCATTCATGAGAGGCGGACCTTTTACCACTAGGCCATCACGATTATAATTAAATCCATACATAATACATATATTGTCTTTAAATAAATAATATCCCTTTTATGTTACATTGAAGTATGAGTACATTACTCTTATAAGTATGTACATATATGTATATATGTATGTATGTATGTAAGTGTTTTTAATATGTATTTCATATTGATTTACTATATCCCCCAATATTTTGTTGGTTCGGGTTCCGAGCTGAATGTAGATGCCTCGTGATGAATAAAGAAACAGGTTGAACTGAGGTGTACCGCGTAAACAACACTAGGGTTGACTCCTGGCTGCTTCTATATAATATACATACATTTACGATCACTCAATACAAAAAAATATTATAAATATATGCTTCATACAGAAAAATCTATATACATATATTTCGCTTTTGTAAAATTAATAAAAAAATAAATATTGATTAAAGAATTTTTTAAATATTATTTAAATATTGATTAAAGAAAAATTTTATTGATTAAAGAAAATTAACCGAAACGTCAGGAGTATGCAGTTAAAATAATAAAATACTCGTAATAATCCGAAAAATATTGATTTCATTTAAACGAATACTTAAAAATTTAGATTTCCTTATATATTATTTACTAAGGATTATTTAAATAATATTTTTTTCTTATAATAATCTTATTATTATATATTTTTTTATATACAGATACAACCCTAACAGCTAATATGTGAGTGACATATGTACATAAATTACAAACGTCTCCGGCCCCCGATATGTTACAGTGAGGTTTTATAGCCAATGGATACTATAAAGAAAGAGGAACATATAAAAATATATACATTAATATATATACAAATAAAAAAATATAACAGTTTTATATGTTGTTTGTATGTATTCCGAAATATTGTATTGAAAAAACATAATTATATTTAAAAATATTAACTGCTAAAGTTATTTTATATTGTACATACAAGAATTATTTAATAAAAAAATGTTATAAAAATATATGAAAAGAATGCATATCGTAAAATATAACATATATATACAAACGTGTAAAAAAATTATATTAATTGAAATAATTTGAACTCAAACTTAGTATATTACTATTTTATATACAATAAGTAAATTATATTTAAATTATCATTCAACTGTTTTAATAACTTAATTATATAAATTTATACCAAAAATTATACAATATGTAATCTTCATTTAAAATAATACTGATACGCTTTAGACTTTTAATCAAAAAACGATGAAAAAATGCCTTACATTACCCTGGAAGAGATCTTATACTCTTGCATTACATGACCATTACTAACCAAACATAGATGAGAACTAAAATAACTATCTTACAAATGAAACCGCATCACAATCAGTTCATTTTTTATAGCTACGATGTCGCAGACAAACAAAATTATACTCTTGATTTTGTGTTAGGAGTTAAAAAGCTGAAAACGTTTTGATATTTTTTATATAAAAAACAAACATAAGTAATTATTTAATTTATAAAGTTATAGTTATTTATTTTCTTAGGGTGTATAAAAGTAATGAATTAATTAAGAAAAAGTTAATTTATAAGAAAAAGGCTTAACTTATTTAACAGTTGGACATATTATTAATAAAATATATTGTATAATAAGTAAAAAACACATTTACGCTTTATTTTATTTTACATGACACTAGCTTTCCGCCCGCAGCTTCGCCCGCATGGAGTTCGGTTATTTCCAAGAGAACCTTTCAAAAGTCTGGGATAAAAACTATTCTATGTTCTTTCTCAAGGTCTACTCTATGTCTGTACCAAATTTCATTAAATCAGTTCAGTGGTTTAGGCGTGAAAGCGTAACAGACAGACAGACAGAGTTACTTTCACATTTATAATATTGGTAGGGAAGTAGGGATATATATATATATCTTTTTTATATGTGAGGTTAAAGTATGTTTCCTTTCAATTATATACACAACCATTACATGTTACGACATGTTTAGAACCTTAAACATAACTCAGTTTGTAGCTAACCCATCGAATAAAAGGGTTCCGTACGTAGAAACTCAAAAGAATTATTAGTATATTTTAACAAAGATTATATTTTTTAAAATTTTATGTCATTATCATCATCATCCTATCAGAGCCCACTGCTGAGCCTCTTCTCACATGGAGAAGGTTTGAGCATTAATCACCACGCTTGCTCACGGGTTGGTGTTTTCAAACTTATAATATGAAATTATAAGTCCAGGTTGCCTCACGATATTTTTCTTCATCTATCAGTTGTGTCTAAATACTCTTAAGTACATATGACTCGGAAAAATCACATTGGTATTTGCCAGGATCGAACCCGCGTCCTCATTCACGAGAGGCGGTCCTTTAACCACTAGGCCACCAAGACTTAGATTGTATACATACTAATATTATAAATTCGAAAGTAACTCTGTCTGTCTGTTACGCTTTCACGCCTAAACCACTGAACTGATTTTAATGAAATTTGGTACAGAGATAGAGTTGACCTTGAGAAAGAACATAGGATAGTTTTTATCCCAGACTTTTGAAAGGTTCTCTTGGAAACGCGACATAACCGAACTCCACGCGGGCGAAGCTGCGGGTGGAAAGCTAGTATATATAACATATAAACAACATATCTGTCATGATTATCACCTATCTGTATGTTCTGCGGGTAGTACATATAATATTCCCTGAACCCTACTGCACTCACTCAACTAAATTGCCTTCAGCCATATTATACGCAATAAAAGAATATTTGATACTTCACCAGCAATAATTGCAGGTACCTCTTAGCTGTATCCCGGGAGGAGAATATTTACGATATCATGATAAATAAATGATATCAATGATATACTATATCATGATATATTTAATGTTTAATCATATGTATATAAAAATGTTTAATTTTATCTAGGTTCTAATAATGCGTTAGTAATTGGTCGTTTAACAATATTTATAGACTTTTTTATTTTACCGACTTTTAGGAATTCCCTGAGAATATACTTATATATATAATACTAAATTGAAATTAATAACACTTTAAAGCTAGTTAAAAGTTATGTAATATCATAATATACAACATTTTTATAAGATTGATAGATTAACGTATGTTTTTAAGTGTTGGGGAGCAAATATGGCAAGGCAAAACATTAATGAACTTTTAAAAAGACTTAAAGTATGTACTACATCCAACTTAATCTTTTTGAAAAGTAAATAAATTTGATACAAGTAAGTTTTGTATATTTCGTGAAATTAAGAACACGCATCTTTATAGCAAAAGCAATCGACTATCACTTTTTTTTATAACAAAACTGTAAATAATTAAGGCAGCCTAAACGAAAAAAGGTTAAATAAATTTTTTCTTAAATCCTCACGTCATATTGACAAAAGATAGTTTTGAGATGTCGTTTTATTTGATGCTATGGGAATTAGTAACAAGAGGTAAATTTTATAAACATTAATATTAAATATCAATTAATTGATTATTTATATTCTTTGACATATTTTGGAAAACGAGAAATAAAAATATTTAGGAAGAAATCTTTTTTTATACCGAACTGTCATTTTTAGCGAATTGTCACTTTTAGCGAAACGAAAGACTAAGCTTAAAATCTAGATGACTTATTTTGAACAATCATTGTATTAATGACTGATCTTATATTTACAGTCATGGAAAGAAAACAGACAAGGAAACACAGTCCCCGATGTTGAAGATATTCAAAGACATTATGCAGAAGGACAATACGTATGTACTTAAAAACAAACACACGAAATAACTCAGAATTACATATATACTTAACCCTTTATTATGTATTTGGGGTAAATAAAATGATGTAATATTAATATTGTTAAGATTAATAAGTATCAAATTTGAAGGTAGATAGAAATCTCTAGCTGACAAAGTAATAGTATCTTAGATTTTCGTGTGTCTTAGAGACGTCTCGTCTGACTGATCACGGTTGTTGTAAAGGTACCGAAACTTCGCGATTATGAAGTACTAAAATAATAAAAAACGCGTAGTATCCTCAAAACTTAGTTACATTTAAAAGTAAATAATTTAGTTTTAATCTATAAATCATTTCTTAATTTTCAGGGAACCGGAAAAAGTAACCTTACTCAAGGATAAGAAAAAAGACAAGAAAAGAAAATTCTATTCCGAATCCAGATCCAAGTCGGATAATGTGAGTATTTGGAAGGTTTACGAACATTCAATGTTAGAAAATAACCTAGAGATGAGTTGATAATAAAAACCCACGTATAAGAAATCATAAGTCATCCAATTTTTGAGTTTGTACTCGTAATTATAACTTCAAACCGATACTGGCAAATAGCTTAAAATTTTATTTAAATTTTGCAGCCAATAATATATATATGAATAAGTATTTAAAATATAATAAACAATTAATAATAAACATGACTACTATAGCATTTGAGATGGAACCATACGTTAAATGAAAGAAGGTTAAATAATATGAATATTTTTTTATCATACTCATAATTTGAAGGTCTTTTTCAGAGATCCTATGATTCGAGCAGCACAGACAGACACAGGAGTCACAAACTGGCTAACATCACGGTTCACAATATAAGGGAAGATAAAGAAGACTATAACAAATTCGGTGCCGATGTTAGTATGGGATTTTGTTATATAAAATATGCTTATATTATTAAATTAGTCCTATAACTCGTGTCTAGAAACCTTGCTGACATTTCCATCATCAAACATCAACTCTTTCTGACGTAAAATATAAACTTAACTTTCTGACGTAAAATATTTAGATCAATTTGTATTCGGATCGTTTATGTTCTCAAACGGCTGAATGGAATTTTAGCGAAGTTTATAATGTATGCATTGCCAGGTATACTTTATTTATATGAAAAAAACAGGAATTAATATTGAATAGTAAGATTTAATTTAATCCTTCCGAATATGAGTCACTTACATATGGTTAATAGGATAGTATGGAAATTTGGATTTGTATGAAAAATATGACCTTAAATCATTGGTTATGGTAATATCGTAGATAGCATTAACATTTCATGAAACTTAGACTTATTGCCCGATTTAATTGGTTACAATATTCGATAAGATTTCTTATATTAAAGAAATTACTCCTTCCTGGAATATATCTTTAAATATTAACCTTACTACTTATTGGATAGTACTTGGATGAACATGGCACTTGAATGAAATGCTGAGAGTAGTTCACTATTGCTGAACTGCTATTCCACTATCCTATAGGAATTACAAACAACATCGAATTTTTTCAGAACATGTGATCTTACAGTATTGCATTTTTATTGCAAAACCATTGAGCTTGAAGAAATATTAAATTGATCACTCTTATCTTAATCGTAGCATTAGACATAATATCAGTGCTCATAAGCTATGTTATGGAGAAATTCTGAGGATTTTTATCAGAGTTTTCATAATGTACCAAACGTACATATTTGACTTATAGGGACCACTTATCATTACGTGAAACCACTACTCTTTTAAAAATATGACAATATAATTATAAAAGTAACAATGATTTTACAATTTGCTTCTTTTTTTGATTTTATCATCTCCCAAGAATTATTTTGAAATAAGTGAAATTATATGAATTGGTATAATTATTATAAATTCTATTTTCAGGCGTACAAAGACAAAAAAGAGAGCTGGTGGTGTTTGGTGAGTGTTAAGAGAATAATTTAATAAAACACTATCTTTTGATTTGAATATATAAAAGATAAACAGGCTAATGTATTGATCAGTGAATCTATAAATATTAATACAGGTATATCATATAATACACGTGATCATAAAAATGTTCAGGTGATCCCTGATTAAAATAGAATTTGATATAGAATTATTATTTTCAATCTTTTGATATTCATATGTCATTCACTCATTGTAGAGGCCGATAATAGTACATATGATGGTATGATAACAAACAGTAAAAAAGAACTGATATATGTACAATCAATTGAGAAATTTCATTCGAATATGAAGATGTCGATTCATTCACACATTCATTTATTAGCAAAAGGATTCATTAATAGGTTAAGAATAAAACTTATTTTATTAAATAATTCGATTTCTCAAAAATGAATTTCAGAGTGACTCAAATGGTAAGAAAAAAAAGAAGAAGTCATCGGGAGATACATGCTCATGTGTGTCGTGCGCGTAAGTTAACACGAACTATTATATTTTAATTAAAATAAAACTATATTTATGCACACACACTAAAAAAAAATCACGACTTTTCACTATCACTGGCAAACAAAATTCAAGTGTCTAGTAGATGGACTAATGGACTATCTTATTTACAATTTATTAAGATCTTCGCATAATGCTCTGTATGCTATTATATGTATGTACGAATATGTATAGAGAGAGAGAGAGAGAGAGACTGACAAAGAGAGAAAGAGATGGAGATAGACCCTCACAAGCAGAGAATGACTTCTCCATTTATTAAATACTAGCTGCGTCCCGCGGTGTTATTCGCGGATTTCCGGGACGTAAAGTAGCCTATGTGTTATTCCTGGACGTCAGCTTCATGTATACAAAATTTTATCAAAATCAGTTCATCCATTTGAGCGTGAAGAAGTAACAAACATACCCACGCACTCACAAACTTTCGCAATTATAATATTAGTAGGATATTATCATTATTGCAGCTTCAAAAAGATCTTGGGTACGGAATGCACCTGCGTCACAGCCCTGTTTCTATTGTTCGCTGTGTCCGTGGTGATAGCGTTCATGATCGTCTTCAGGACGGACGCCCCGTGTCCCGAGATGAAGCTGCAGATGAAAAGACATCTCTCTGAGAATTATGACCCTGGACAGTGAGTGATTTTGGACTGTATAGCTCAGTTATTAGAGAGGCGGTACTTCGAAGGCAGCCCTAGTAGGTTCTTTCCAAATTTGGTAGAGAGAGAAGCTTGTACGGTGGAAGAGAGCGTTTAACGTGTTAGATAGGGTCTCTTAAACCTACACCTGGGTCACAAGTCCCAGTCACTGTTGAAGCTCCTCTCACTACAACGATGGACCCGACACACGCACCGTGAATACATGGAATGATGAGAGGTTTCGTCTCTCTATATATATTAAACCTACACTTGGGTCACAAGTCCCAGTCACTGTTGAAGCTCCTCTCACTACAACGATGGACCCGACACCCGCACCGTGAATACATTTATTTATTTATTTTATAGGATCACCAACAGAAATGACAATAGTATTACAAATATTATATAGTTAACGATTGAACACACTTGATAATTGAATTTCTTTTTATAGGTAATCACAGCTAAATATATTAAATATATTAAACATTAGTAATTATCACAAGATTGTTTGTTTGGACCAATTATATAATTAAAAAGAATTTGAATTATTTAACAGTTTTATAACAATAGCAATTGATTTGTATTTAAATGAACATATTAAATGAAAAATAAGTTAAATAAAAAGTAGTACATGGAATGATGAGAGGTTTCGTCTCTAGGAACAGAATGTTTTTACATATTAATGTACATAATAATAAATAGCCATAATAGCAATAGAGATTTAAATTTTCATTTAGCGAATTTTCTATGATAATTATATATTTTTTCACCCCGTACAGAGACGACCTGAACAGCCTGCAAGCTCTTAATGATGTTGCTCTCTCCGGTAAGTGGCTCATAATTTTCTAATATTTTTATTTTCCTTCATATTAGAATTATGTTCAAAAAGTTTTTTCTGACATCACTATTATTAGGTGTTAATTGATAAGTTAAATTTGCCTTAAAAATTATTTTTTTTGCTTTAACAGATAATAGAAACAATTATAAAAGATCGGTAAGTAATTTTTTTGTTTTTTTTTTCTTATTAAATATAATTTTTGAACCATTTATTTTAACTTGAATATAAGCAAAGCTATTGTTATCTATCGTCCTTCTAATACCACAAACTTGTTGATTACTATAAATGTGCTGTTCATTGATAAATTGTTTGAACCCTTTTTTGTAGTTCGAAAGTTTCCACTACTACGTGTTTTTGTGGTAATTTAAACAGTTTTGATACAACGTTTATGTGTGTATACACTATACAAATTTAATTACTATGTATAATTTGTCAGTATAGTTACATTGTAGAAAAAACACATTTACACATAGACACCATTAACAGGTTTTATATGGCAAAAGGAAGTTATCATCAAGTAATAATAAAATAAATGTTTTCCAAAGAATAGTTCGCATAATGATATTTAAGATTATCAAGAGAAAAGAGAATAAAAAACCTTAGTAGCGGTCTCCAGCCCTTAGAGATTTAAAGAAACTTTTAGGTACATTGAACTTAAAGTACAATTCGATATAACTTTTTGCAAGTCTCAATAACACTTAATATATCTCCGATAATACTTTAATCTTTGTCAAATGACCTTTAAATAGTTTTTTTACTTATAACAACAGTTAAATACATTATACAAAAATCCAAAGAAAAAGTCAAATAAAATAAATTTGTAGGTATACTAGTAAACATGCTATTATAATAAGTAGATAGTTTATCAAAATATTAGTCAAAATAAATGAAAGAATAATTAAAATCAAAACAATTATAGTCAAAAACCCTTATTTATATACATTCTTGTTACTATAACTATTTGTTTAATTACAAATTCATTATATCTAGCATTTTTATTTATCGGAATCAACAAATCAATTGTTAAGCTTAGGCCTCGTAATAATTATACTTTTCACATTGCCATCTCCTCACGAGATGATAAAGATATTGTTTATTTTCTATTCGTAAATAAGTATAAATACGTTAAAGTCAGTAGTGGCCTAGTGGTTAAAAGGCCCGCCTCTTATGCATGAGGGCGCGGGTTCGATCCTGGCCCTGGCAAGTACCAATTTGTTTTTTCGAGTCATATGTACTTTCTATGAGTATTTAGACATCACTGATTAATGCATTCCCAAAGAGGGTTGATGTCAGGCATGCGACCAGTCGCTAAAACAATTAGCCAAAACTATTCACAACATGTAAGGCAGACCCTGGCTAAAAACTGGGAAATTTTCAGGTAGAAGAAGAAGAACTAGTCTAAATACGATATATTACATTGAAATATTTTTATTTGATTTCAATTTAGAAATAATAAATTAAAATTAAACTAATAAAATTTCAAGCGTATCAAAGCATGACAACTGCATACATACACCAAGCATTTTTCCGTTATCATAATGAAAGATGCTTTTCAATTGCATACAATTCCCATGCATCCATATGCGGGTAATTAATTCTATGAAAAAGGCTGATAACTTGGCGTGAAAGCTTTGTCAACATGATGTATTAAAACTATTATAGAAAGTATAGTTAGAAAACTATTGTTCGTGCTAAAATGTTATCACACACTTTGATGCTTTAAACCTTTTGTAATGATCTTTTTTTCTCCCATTTTCTGCTTTTAATGTGGCCATAAAGTGTTTATGATACAGCCTGGTCTGTTAATAGTTGTTTATATCGTTTTTTAAGTTGTTTACACTTGTAAATTAATTTTATTTAGTGTTGTTTACTTTAATAAGTCACGGTTATTTTTGTAAACTCTTGAGTGATGTGTTGTTTACAAAAGTTTTTTAAATAAGTACTTATACTCAGACTATTTAAAATATATATACGTTTGTCTAAAAACTAAAATTTTGTCATAGCACTGAAATTAATTTTAATATGCAAAAATGACAATCAGCTTTGTCTGATGATGCAGTGGAAACATTTAGAGAGGGTAATTATATTTAATAATTTATACAAGAAACTTTCTTAATAAAAAGTTAATAAAAATCGTATTATTTTTTGATGAGTTCTAATAAGAGCAACACGAATAGAAGTAGTACAGGGAAGAATTATTTATCATTAAAACAAGTAAAATCACATGACAGTATAAGTGTTAAATATTTATTAAGGGTATCTATTTGTTACGTGCGACACATTATTTATAAAAGCCTTAAAGTATCACCACTTTATCCATAAATATGTAACATTTAATTTGAACTCAATGTACATGTGAATAAGGTGGTTATAATAAATTTCTATATCCCATTTAAACTGGCCAAGAACCCTCGAGCGATATTAATACTTTATATTAAAACAATTGATTGTATATACATGGTGTTCAGATTTAAATCTTTTTAAATTTAAACTTAAATTTCATACATTAAATACATATATATCTTAAAGGAGAGATACAATTCAATATCTTTGTATGACAAACGACAAAACTTTGCCATTACAAGCAACGACTTTTTGTTATAACTTTTATATATTTTCAATTAATTTACAACACCCCAAGGAGTCGAACCCGCGACCCGTGCGGCAACAAATCATAAGGTATTAAGGTGTTTATTCTCAAAAGCCACAAGATTTGTGTCTTGGATATAAAGACAACTCTTTTTTAGAGTTCCCCAGTGAAATGAGAAAACCCTACCGAAATTATGTGACATATATTTAATATGAATAACATCGAATTCGGATAATTATTTTAATAAATATTTTTAATAATTTATTATGTAAAAATGTATACGGAACCATAGTGTTGGTATGTAAGCAATTTTTCTCAACTACGTCTCACTAAGTCCCAGTTAGACACCCTTATCTTTTTCTATAAGCCACGTAAAGTATGTCGTCCAGTGTCGAAGCGAATACGAAGCTAGCAGACAATATATTAAAAATATTAATAGTAATATATATAAAATATGATATAAATTATATTTTCGTAAGTAGTTTAAACTAACCTATGCTTATAATTAAGATAGAAGGTGCATCTCTCACACGTGAAACATAGCAAATAAAACAGCTAATAATACACTCGACATATTATACTATATTAAAATTTAAAATATCTAGATGCAATTTCAGTCATTATATCTTTATATATAGAAGCTATATCAGCGTGAAGTGTGGGGGATCTTTTTTGATTTATGTTGAGTATACATAATAGGTCTCATGGTGTCCCGGCAACTGAAGATGTATTAAGATGGGCATCGAATCTGTGACCAGGGATTTAAACGACGCACTTGTTAGTGGTAAAAATATGTACCGTTGTTTATTTTTTGGCAATATATTTGAAAATAACTTATTAATTCTTCTTCTACCTTTCATTTCCCCAGCTTTAGTCAGGGTCTGCCTTACATGTTGTGAATAGTTTTAGGTTATTGTTTTTACGACCGGCCGCCTGCCTGACATCAACCCTCTTTGGGAATGCATTGATCAGTGATGTCTAAATACTCTTATAAAGTCCATATGACTCGGAAAAATCACATTGGTACTTGCCCTGGCTGGGATCGAACACGCGCCTTCGTGCAGGAGAGGCGGGCCTTTTAACCACTAGGCCACCACTTACTTCTTAAAAATAACTTTTCAATTATTTATATTATATGTGTATATTTGTTGATTATTAGTAATTATTTCTGATGAAAAACTACGCTTAGTAAACTTGTTCCACGATTATTTTAGTAGGGACTAAATAAGAATAATGTGATCTAATACTTTTGAGTATTTATTTAAATACGGATTCTTTTAAGGTTTTTTTTATTAAGTGATCCTTATTTATGTTATATTTACATATTATATATGAAAGTATTTTAAATGAGAGTCATTTAGGTTGAAAGTCGGAGTGAAATAAGTTATATATAATTTGAAAGAACATGAGAAGTACACGGGAAATTTATACAAAATTATTTAGTATCTGTCTTAGTATCTTAAAAAAATATAATGTACTCTTGATTTTTTGGAAAAAATGTATATTTTTGTTAATAATTTAACCAAATATTCTCAATTTTGTAACAATAAAAAACACGTATTTCAAATAAACTGCTCGCCTTGGAAGTAAAAAGAGATTGAAATACAATTAATAGTTTCTGAAATGAACGAACATACGCTTACTCCAAGTTTGTATCTCACTTCAAACTCAGCGTTTACAGTTTATCATCACTATCCTGACATAGATTATTACGTTCAAATTAACTTTATACTTATAGTGCGTAGTGCATCAAACTTGTAGTAAGGATGGAGTTATCAAAACTTTTGCATGATATTAGTCGGATTGAATGTAGGGTTGTACTTCTTGCTAGCTCCCCGCGTTACTCTATTGTACCCACCCTGTAGTATAACCCAAGTGAAGGAGGGAGATTATTAATATTGAGGATTGAGATTCGCTTGCTGGCATTTTATTCAGTTCCATTGTTGTTGAATCTAAATAACCTAAGTCTAGATTATCCTCGGGCGTTTAGAACATTCATTTTGTATAGCTGGATGTGATTTGTTTTCTTTCTATTGTTTGTTTTTTTGAATATTTTTTGAATGCTTTGATGTTTACAGAGAAATTATTTTATGTTTATCTTTGACTTTTATTTGTTAGGAATGAACAGACGTATAGATTTGAAGTGATTTAAAAGTATATAATGTACTTTTTATATAAATGAAAAGTAATTTTTCTCATAGTTCCATTTATGTTTAAATAAATACTTATATGTCTATACATATTCCCACTAACAGTCGACTTTTCTTTATCTTGTATAGGTAAAAATTTAAATAATATACAAAAAGGTGTGTTTAAAATTATCATTTACTCGTAATATTGTAGCTTTATTAGCAGAAACTGTGGACAAATCTAAGAAGTACAGCTAGAGTAGATCTTCAAAATAGCATGTAATAAAACATATGTCATATTCCATGGAAAATTCAATTACTTTTCTTACAGCTGAATCGATCATTGACCTTTGACCTTATTTTAATATTTATAATATATGTACTAATTAATTATTATTATACTTTGTGGATGATACTGTTTAAACTTAAAATGTATC